GTCAGTAAAAGGAAAAGTGGCTTCATCCTGGCTCAAACCAGAACAATATCTTAACTCCACCATGGCTGCCACTGTTTTCTGTTTGCAGCTCTCCACCTGCCCAGTAGAGCTGAGTGGGCACAGGGAGTCCAATATTCCCAGACAATTGTACAACATTTGCTTCTGTGAGCAGTTATGGAATAAAAAGCATTTTTTATTTTAATCTCACCCATCTCTGTCCCCAAAGATTTCCCTTTCAATGTTCTTCTGTTAGCTTTGTCATATTTGTTCAGAGGAATTTGTCAGAATAAGGATTGCACAATAATTTTAAATATTTCAGCCAAACTATGGGTACTGAACACAACAGCAAGGTTTTTAGAAGAATCACTGAACACAAAAGGGTGTTTTTCACTGAATGCCAGCACATGATTTTTCCTCCTTTTTTAATTAGTTGAAGTAGTCCAGAGAAACTATTAGTTATAGAAACTATTACTTGTAGATTTTGAGTGGACTCCTGAAATAGGCTGCATTAAAACATGTGTTTATCTGACTTTGAAACAATCAATCCAGATGTATGAAGTCAAAATTTTAACATAAGTGTTTTTCCTCTGCCACTAGTGTCTATTTCTACCAACAAAATATTCTGGGTTACATAAAATACAAATTAAATGACTGAATGGACCACTTGGTATATTGTAATTCCTTCCCACCTGCCTATGCTTCAGTGCCAAGAAGCATTTCAGATCCCATGCATTGTGTTTGTTTTTAATACTTTTAAAGATACTGGAGAGCATTGATTTACTAGTATCTTATATCATCAGTCAGAAGCCAGAGGAATAGAGACAGCTTTCTTGGATTTAAGATCAGAATCTTTCACATGGGAGAACAGCTTCAATTCAGCAAAAGGCTCTGCTTTGCTGAGCTGGAGGCAATTTCAGCCCATGCCTTCCTGAAACAGAGAACTGCAGCAGATCAGCAGGCACCTGTCAGTCATTTAGCTCCTAGGGGTGGGATATGGTTGGATTTGAGGTTATAGGTGGTGACCTTTCCTTCTATTGCTAGTGGAATACTGGTAGTCTAATTCCCACCCATTGTTTTCCTTGTTTCTGTAATTGTTTCTTCATCAACAGCTGGGAGACTGCAAATGCCTTGTATGACCCTTGAAAGCAGGATTTCTGCAGCAGGAGAGGGATATTAACACTTTGATGTAAAAATCACAGGACACCTCCTATAGAAACATCTGCTCTACGTGAAACCTTCCCAAAAGAGACACCAGCCCTTTGTGTCTCCTTAGCTCTGTAAAGAGTTGCTGTTTTGTTAGTTCCAAGGATAATCCCAGTGCAATTTCCCTGGAACAGCAGTGAATCCATGTAGACAGTCAGCTGAAAAATATCAACATAAAGCCGTGAGACAGCTGTGAGAGAAAAATAGCTTAACTGGGAGGTGCCCTGGCATTTTATGACTGTGAAAGTGTACTCAGACTATTGGGTAAAATATATTTCCCACATCGTTCCAGTTTCAGAGGAACAGGATAAAAATCTCCTATAGCCACAGTGACCCAAGACCCCCGGGCCCACCGGGCTGTGGCAGTGACCATGGGGGAGCAGCTGTGCCTATGGGGAGGAGAGGGTGGGTCAGGTGGCCCCCATCACAGCACTCCTGGCCGTGGTGCTCATTGTAAAACGACGCCTCAGGGAGCCCTTCTCTGGTTGCTGTGCTGGCTGGATTTGAGTCTGTTTGTTTGTCTTTGTCCCTTCTGTTGCTCCCACATCTTGTTTTCTTGCTGGAAAAGAGCACTGCTCACCAAGACAGGTTGTCTTCCCCTAACTCCTAGAGTAGGATTGGCTCAGCTGTGCCAAGGTTTTTTGTGGACTGCACTCAGACACCCCTATCTGCTGCCAAGACCAGTTTGGGACTTTTCTGGTTAGGAAAAAATGGCAGTGAGGAAGGTGGGGCAGGAGGTGCTCCAGGCCCTGTAACACAAACTCCCCTGCAGCCTGTGGTGAAGACCGTGGTGAGGCAGGCTGTCCCCCTGCAGCCCAGGGCAGTCCATCATGGAGCAGATATTCACCTACAGCCCATGTAGGATACCACAATGGAGCAGGCAGGTGCACCTAAAGAAAACTTTGATCTTTGACCTGTGCAGAAATGAGCCCGTGCTGGAGCAGACTTCTGTCAGGACCTGGGGACTTGTGGAGAGAGGAGCCCACACTGGAGCACATTTGCTGGAAGAACTTGTCACCCTGTGGGGGACCCACACTGGAACAGTCTGTTTCTAAAGGACTGCACCCCATGGAAGGGACCCATGCTGGAGCAGCTTGTGAAGAACTGCAGCCCATGGGATGGACTAGAGACACTAGAGGAGTGTGCACTGTCTCCTGCTGGAGCAGAGGAAGAGTGTGAGGACTCCTCCCCTGAGGAGGAAGGAGCAGCAGAGATGTGTGATGAACTGAGGGCAGCACCCATTCCCTGTCCCTGTGTGCTGCTCAGGGAGAGGAGGTAGAGAAATTGGGAATGAAGTTAAGCCTGGGAAGGGCTGAGGGGGTAAGGGTGTTTTAAGTTTAAGAAGGGCTCCCTGAGGTGCCATTTTAAAATGAATTTTGATTGACAAAAGTTTAAATCGCTTCTCCCTGAGTGAAGTCTGGTTTGCCTATGACAGTAATGAGTGTTCTCCCTGTCCTTATGGCAATGCATGAGCCTTTTGTAAAATGTTCTCTCCCCTGTCCAGCTAAGGAGTGACAGAACACCTCTGGTGGGCACCTGGTGTCCAGCCAGGGTCAATTCACCACATCTTGTTTTGGTATGTATGGGTTACTTGTGTAGAATATAATATGAGCAATCATTAAGACAAACTGAACAGGGATGGACATAGTAAGACTAGGTTTCATCTCCTAAAACTCTTTCAGATTATGACTAAATGGAGAATTTAGGAGAAGTGGTCTCTGACATCCTGCTTTCTGCCTCTGATGGCATTCAGTCAAAGACAAACAGGACATTATGGGAGCAGGAGGGAAAATATTTATGTCCTAGAAGAAAAATATATGTCTGTGGGTCATTTGCCCTGCTCAGAGGCACCACATATTTTGCTTGCTGAGCTAAAGAGATTTTTCTGTTCTTGCATTCAAACACACAGTGAGCATGATACTGATACAGTCAAGCACATCTTGCTAAATCCATGGATGGATTGAGCTGCAGGATCAGAGCCTACAGTTGAAAAAGCAAACAAAAGAGCATAGAATTAAACATTAAAGCCACCAACGCATGCTGGTCTGGTTTCATAGGAGCATTATTTAATCAAGCATAGGAAATACATGGTGTTCTTGGAGTGGTGTGGTAAATTATGTTGGATCTGGGAGATTTTTATAGGAGCAGATCTAATAAGATACTACAACAATGGAGGTTACAAGAGGCTTGAGGAGCAACACTGCCCGTCCTGTTTATGCATCACACCTCAACAAGGTATTTGTAAACATGAATCAAACACTGCATGCTTGATTAGCACCCTTAGTAACATCACTGAGTTACTGGAGGCCTTTAGAAATTGGACTGATAAGATATATTGTTGTAATCTTCACTTTCAGTGAGTAAGGGTTGTATCTCTGAAGAAGTTTTTCTTTTCTTCCAGTGGGTCAGAATGAGCCCTGTGAACACAGCAGCAACTGCGCCTCCAATCATAGCTGCTCCAAGCAACCAAGCCCAAATCTGACGGGCTTCTTCAAAGTAGGTTATTAAAAACTCAGGGAAAGAATTAGATGCTGAAGTAAAAAAAGAAAGAAAAAAGAAAGTTTCTTTTACATGATGCAATGTACTGTCAATTTATAGAAGTTGCATAACAGAATACTGGAAGGCTGAGTGAAAGAGATTACATTGGTAAAGAACTCTCTGAAGGTCACAAATATTTTTAAACAAATCTCTTTAGACATTATAGTCTGTTTCTCAATCTTCATATTAAAGGCTGAAGCAGAGTTTACTGTCCCCAGAGCTCTTTATGGTTTTGTCAAAACTGTAAGACTATGACCCAAGAATTCTGATACAGTATGGCCAAAGGTTCTGCTAGCTCAGCACCTTGATGGCAACAAGAATCAAAAGAGAGCATTAGGAAGAGTTTTAAGAACAGATTATGCCTGTTATGATCCTGTCACAAAATACTTACCCAGCCTCCAACAATTTGCAGCTCAGGGATTTCCTGAACCAGATGTGGTGATGTATTTAATTATAATTGGAGGATTTTTTTTCCTTCTGTCAGCTGCTCTTTGAACTTCTATCACAACTTCTTGAAGCAAGCAGATCCTTGCCTTAGCCATATGTTGGGTGAGAAAAAACCCCCACAAAACACCACTTCTTTTCACTGATTTTGAACCTGTCACCTTCTCATTTCATGTGATAGTTCTCGTAAGGGGAAAGGTAGTAGACAACTATTCTCTCATAATTCTCTGCACACAGACTCATTAAAGAAAGAACTGGAGCCTTTTTTCTTTGGGGAATGCAGGGGAACTTCTTGCTGGTTAGATTATCAGTTGCCTTCTTGCTTTGTGGTATGAATGTGTGTGTCTATGTCTCTGTTTTTCTCAGTATGGCTTAATGAGCTATGAAAACCCTGTCACACGGCTGTCATGTCACAATAGAGGTTGGAAGGTGATCCCTTCAAAATGCACCCAACAATCTGCTGGCATGAATTTCACTAATGAGAATATCTGTCCTCTTGGGCCAAAGAGTATTTTAAATCCACATATCCCAATTACTAGTATATGTTCCTATTAGCTGCAATTTCTCTCTTTTAGGGAAAGAACATGGGACCCCTATAGACAAGCCCTCCAATGTGGTTTATTTTATACAGTGTTCATGCATCTGGACTGAGTTAGATCTGCTCAGCCATACTTAGTGAGAAATATTTCCACAACAGCTATAACTGCCTTCCTGCCATCTTGCATTTTCACTGGTTCCCCTGAAAAATTATTCCATATATCTTCTTGTATCATGGTGCTTTTGAGTGCACATTCTGTGCACTGTGCTCTGAAAAGATGCTTTTGGGCTGTAGCACCTTTAAGGCTAAGCTATCTGTAGCACTTGTCTGAATCACTTCCTGAGATGCACTTTAAATTTAGGCTATGTTTATGCTAAGTAGATTTTGTCCCTACACCTCAGCTTCAGTTTAGGACATGTTTGGTTGCTGTTTCTCTGGTCCTTGCTTTTGAGTTAATCCAACTTTGTATTCTGAGACTGTATATGTAAGAGTCTTCATGTTTAGCCTTCTGTTTCTGACCTCATTAGACATATAAATGCTACATAACACTTAGAATTATAAAAAAAATAGATTCTTCATAAATACTTCACATTGGACAACACATGGGTACTTTGAGGGAGACATTAGCCAATGCCAATTCCATTCTTTTATATCAGTGCTTGGAGTGAAATGATAATCCTCCCTGGAAGCTGCCATGAACATTGATTAAAACTGCCCTTTCAGTCAATAGGTTCATGACAAAACAAGAGGAAGCCAAGTTGGGCTGGTGCTTGATATCTACTCTCTCATTAGTGACTAATACCAGCAATATCTCCTCATCTTGCTCTTTCTGATAGGAAAATAGCAGTGATTAACCTCAATCACAGTCTTAGCATTCAACTCTTGACATATTTTTTTTCTCAGAGACTGTTAGCTCTAGCTAATAGCAACAAATACCCTCTTATTCTTAATATATCATATCATTGCTTTTAAATATAATTTAAAAACACCAAGCAGTCCATTTTGTGTGGGTTGTTGGATGTCATTGAAAAGGTTGGAAACCACAACAGTGTAATTCCAGGGAGAAACAATATGTATCCTGTATTTATACTAATAATGTGGAATTCTTGTGATGATTGAAGAAACATACCAATCTAATAGTTGGGCATCCTGAGATCTTCCTTTTATGGTAATATCAAATTACATTATTTTATATAATGGATCCCAAGGATTAAAAAAATTCCCTGGTATGTAAAAAACCAAACACAAGCACAGAATTATATATATATTTTAGATATTAATTTTAAATAAACTAGAGGATTATGTCTTTCCAGAGTTAATTCCACAAGTTAGAAATAAAAACTGGCCAGTCAATAAATGAACAAAACAATTTTTTCTATCATTTATCTGTTGCCATATGCCCCACTGGTAGGTTGGCAGTCATACTATTTAATTTTACATGCTTTTTTACCCCTAACATGGGTGGGTAATAGGCATGAGGTTTTAAAGCAAAGCTTGAGGCAGCACAAAAATATCCTATTAGGTCAAGCTTTCAATTTTTTTCTTATCCCAGCAAGCAAATTATTTCTTTCTGGTTTCTACCACTTACTGTGTGCACAGTTCACTAATTGTGCCCCTCTGGGTGGTCAAAGGAGATATCAGTGACACTTCTCAAATCAAAGATGTTATTCAGCCCCTGAGTCTGTCTTAAAGCACAATCACTTGTCTCTGCAGCCCTGGCAAGTTCACAAGACCCACTAACTTAATCAGGGTCTCCTGATTATTACAGCTGGGAAAGTCTTTTGTAATGTTATCTTCTGACAACAATGAAAGTCTGGAGAAGACTGTCAGTTATAGTGCACTAACTTTGGGGGGCAAGAGAGATAGTAGTGGGTTGTTCATGGTAAAGCTACAGTATCCATTGGTGTAAATTCAAGTTGTTCCCTTACAGTACTGCCTTCAATACAAGATGATGGGTAAATTTGGAAACTATGACCCACCCTTCATCGTGTAACTGTATCGAGAAACAGTGAGAAACAGACCATTTCTGCATCACTATCAACAACTTTATAACTGTTTCAGTGCTGAAGTTGATTGGAGTTGTCTCTGCTTGTTACATTGGTGTAGTAACACTACTGTGGAGTCCTGCCTGCTCGCTGGCAATGATGGCACATCTGCAGAGTGGAATACTGGCAAAAGCTGATAACTTTGGAGTATTGAGAGGAGATAAATCAAATATCCTAGGGTGCATGTATTGAGCAACACTGTTTGCTTTTTGTTTAACAATCTCAGTTAACACTTGGACTTCATGACTGCCCTTTCACAGTTTGCTTATATAAATTTCTCAAAACATAATTGTAGAAACATAGAATGGTTAAGGTTGGAAGGGACCTTAAAGATCATCAGATTCCACCCTCCCTATTATGAGCAGGGGTGCCTCCCCTAGGAGGCACAAAGCCTCATCCAACCTTGCCTTAAACACCTCCAAGGAGGGGACTTCCACAACTGCCCTAGACTACCTATATCCAGCATCTTACTACCGTCATGGTGAAGAATTTCTTCCTAATGTCTAACCCAAATCTACCCTCTTCCATCTTACCCCTCATCCTCTCACTACACACCCTGGTGAAGAGTCTCTCCCCAACTTTCCTGTAGCCTCTTCAGGTACTGGAAGGTGCTATAAGGTCTCCCCAGAGCTTTCTCGACTCTCTCAGCCTGTCTTCATAGCAGAGCTGCTCCAGTCCTTTGATCATCTTCATGGCCATTCTCTGGAAGAGGTGAAGTCTGGCTATAGGGCATCTGATATCACCACACTATGCTACCAGGCTGTTAATAATTCAGAGAAAGAGTTTCCTAACCCTAAATGGTTCCCAAGAAAAAAACAAAACAAAACAAATACAACAAAACAAAACAAACAAACAACAAAACACAACAAATGCCAGTTTTAAAAATCCATATTTCATTTTCTCCATTAAGGATCACTATATAACAATCAAAATATCTGCTCATGCTCTTCTTACTAACAATATATTTTTGTGTCTTGTTTTCTTTGGTTCTCTCCTGTTTCAGTCAACCTTAATCTACACTTTCTTATCTCTTCCTGAAGAAAATCCAGGGACCAAAATACTCTCTTCTCAGCTTTTATACTTAAATGTAAAACATTTTTCAAGATAGAATTTCTCCAGTGTCGTCACATTTAATTGCTTCTCATTGTTCTGACATCCACATTTTATTGTGCATGTTACTATTTTATTGTAGGCTTTTATATGCATAACATCAACTTTTCACATTGTGGTCAACAGTGTGTTCTGTGTTGGGAGACTCAGCAGAGTCTCTCCTTGGTGGTACAATATTTGCCATCTGCCACATTTTCTACTCACTTCATGTGATTTTGCAACCAAATTGCTGAAGAGCCAGAAATAGAAATGGCTGCACCCAGTCTCTGGATCTGAGCTCTCCTCCTACAGCACATCCATGAGCAACCTGTCTCTACTTTACCAGGAGTGTCAAAGTTTGTGTAAAAATTGCAACTGAAGGTAGATTAATTGAGTCATAGAATCCTAGACTCATAGAATGATTTGGGTTGGAAGGGACCTAGAAGACCATCTAGTTCCAACCCTCTGCATGTCCAGGGACACCTTTCACTAGACTGAGTTGCTCAAAGCCCTGTCCAACCTGGCCTTGAACACTTCTAGGAACAGAGCATCGACAGCTTCTCTGTGCAGCCTGAGTCAGTGTCTCACAACCCTCACACTAATTTCTTCCTAATATCTAATATAAATCTGCCTTCTTCCAGTTGAAAACTGTTCTCCCTTGTCCTTTTAAACAGTCCTTCTCTAGCTTTCCTGTAGGACCCCTTCAGGCAGTGGAAGGCTGGGTATACAACTAGGTAACAACTCCTGGGTTTATAATTGGTCACTGCCTACATTTGGAAAAAAGATTAATCACCTGGCCACATATATACTGGTCATAAAATTGTTGTCAGTGAGAGAGGGACAGTTTATGGAGAAAATGCAGGGCTGTGTCTGTGGGTTTATCTGTCCCTGTTTCTGGAAGAAAAATAAAAAATCAACAAAACCAACTTAGTCTAGGCCTTCAAATGTAATTCCTTGGAATAGCTCATGCCATAGAACTTTGTTTTGGCAGCTATTGCTAGGTGGTGCCCCTAGTTCTTCCAAATCTTTTTATTGATGGTAACAAATGTTCATTTTCAGTAAGCCATGAGGGTTGTGGTAGTTTTACAGTTCATGGTTCTCATGTTAAGGAAAGCTGGGTTTGTGCTCTGGTTTCTGCTGAGATTGGCTTCCTGGTAACTAGACTCTGAGATTTGTCTGATTCCTGACGGATGGATTCCCACGTGCACATTTTGTGACCAGTTCTGCTTCAGGGCTGCTGTATGTATGAAATTAAATGAAGCTGCAATTAAAATAACCACAGACTGATTTGCTTTTCAGTGGAAAAGCAAGACTCCAGGCATCAGTTTTTCCTCAGGGTAACAATGATAATATGATACAAAGCATTAAAATACCATTTTATCACTGTTTTTTTCCCAATTTTATTTCTTGTAACCAGCCCTATCATACTCTGCAGTCCTTCTGCATCTCTACCAAGGTGGTAGTGCTGTGACTCAGAACTGCTGCCCTTGCTACTTTCCTCCAGCTATTCCCTTTAAAAACTAAAAAAAAACAGGCCTGGAGGACAGGACAGAGCCAGGTTTTGTGTGCTCATTCCTCACTCTGTTCTCTCTTCTTCCTCTGCCTTTCCTCTTCCTCTTCATTTGGAAGATCTGCAGAAATGCTGCATCTTCTCAGCCACCCATCTCTTCACTGCTCTGATTTTTTTGTTCTTGGCTGTTTTTTTATTCTTTTTTGTTTGTTTGTTTTGTGTTTTGTTTTGGTTTTCCCTTTGTAACTTTTTCCTATTTGTCTAGTAACCCCTGGCTGCCAGTTACAGACTTTCAGTTATCCCTTGAGTAGTTGGAAGCTTTCAGAAAAGCAGAG